AAATTAATAGTCGGTCTCCATTTGGCCATGCAATAGAATTCAGGGACCCCGAGGGGGGTTAATAAATTTAATCGCATTCTAAGTGAATCCCATTTCTCGGTCCTAAGGTCGTCAAATTTGATTATACGTCATCCGAGGGGAAGCCCGTACGCTCTAATAAGATTTCCTCTAACCGTCTACTTTTAGAAATTTGTCCTGGTAATTTCCTACAATTAATTTTAGCAATGTCACCCAAGGGGGAGCCCATAACCGCAATTAATTGATTTACCGACAAATTAGAAATGGAGGCCTTAGGAATTTTACAATTAACTTTAATTTAAAATCCCTTCTCAAACTTAGTATAATTTAATGAGGATTTTTAACTATTTATACAATTCCAAATTAATCTATGTTAATGCAATAATTAATTAACATGCATATTAATTCATGCAATTCTAAATTAATCTATGTCAATGCAATAATTAATTAACATGTTCAATAATTTATGCAATTCTAAATTAATCCATGCCAGTGCAATAATTAATTACATGCATAATTTATTGACATAATTCTAAATTAATTCTATGCATTACATAATTAATTAACATGCATAATTAATCTAGCAATACTAAATTAATTCCATGCAAGAACATAAATAATTAACATGCATAAATAATAATTTAATGGCATAATAAATTTAAATAAATAAATCCACTATTTAAACAAGGAAACTGTGACAGTTCTTCCCTGTTCAACTGGAACTCCTTTGAGCAGTAGAATCCTGGTTGATCTTGTACTGCTTGATCATCAAGGCAAAAACGAACCACCAGCTGCCGCCACCAGTCCGCCGCCGCCGGCCACCGGTCGCCGCCTGCCGGTTCGCTGGAAAAAGCCAATTTTTTTTAATTTTTTTTTATTTTTCGAGGCTCGTTGATCTCTTGTGATCTCCCGGTTATCAACACACGATCACAACACGAAAAATATAACTTACAAAATTACATAATTCGATCCTAGATCCAACGAATGGATGTACATGTTTTCTAAACAAATAATTAAATCTATCCGGTCAACCCCCGGGCGAATAATTATTACAAACATTCATCCATAAATTCCCCGACATGCCCGAGGCTTTAAAAACAAATTTAAAACCATACATCACATTCAACAACATTCATCAAACACATAATCGGCCATAATAGTGGATTAACTATTTTCCTGCAAAACCGAGTTATGCAAATATAATCCAATATATGGCTGCGTTTGAACACATCTTGTCAAATAAAGCCGTAAAAATTCGAACTTTGTACAAAACGAATTAACCAAGTGCTCTGATACCACTTGTTGGGATCTGTGAGGATCTCGTTATGTACAAATCACGAATTCAATAGCAAACGTAAACCTATGCGCAGCGGATCTAAAGGTTTGACGTAGAGAACTTACGGCTTAAAATTTATGTAGATCTGGCTGACCACGAACGGTTGACTGCAATTGATTGACCGCAAATCACGTCTTGGGTTGCACGAACAAGATCAGATCAAACCGGATCAAACGGATGCTAACAGATCAAAACGAGATTTTGCTGCCAGGCACCTTCCGGCGGCACGTGGGGGCGCGTGCGGCGTCGGATTCCGGCGACGTTGGCGGCGATGGAAAGCTCTCGTCGAGGCGGTCGTCTGGGTATACTGTACGTCTCAATCGGACTTCCGGTTAGTTCTGTAGGTCAAAATATATTTCGTCTCGGTTTACCTACAGATCTTCTACTGTATTACTCAATACACCCTTTTTCAACTTGTACCAGTGGAGCAACAACAAGAAGATAAAACTCGAATGAGATCTAGAGAGAGAGACGTGTTTCACGTGAGATGTGAACTATATACCCTTCTCATGAGCTTAATGATGTATATATAGAGCTACAGTAGGGACCCTAAGGAGATTAGGAAAAGGGCTCCTTAATTAATTAGACTAACTGTGCGCCAAGCCCACTCCTCTAATTAATTAAATAATATTAATGGGCCACCAACATTATATTATTGCACTCCCTCTTCCTAACCCAAATTACATTTGAGACTCCAATAATAATTACTCGATTTACCTCCCCACGTTTAAGATATAATGTCCATTAATTAATTCGATTACTGACAATCAAGAATTAATTAATTTATTATTATTTCACCGAAGCTAGCGCTCGTTCATCACATTCTTATTATGCCGGAATTTAATCCACCTGCAGGGTTTAGCATAACAATCCTTCATGAACTCACTCCGGGGACATCATCAAACTAACGCACATGGTGACCGTAAATATCCTAACAGCACATCCTATATATAATAATATTACCCAAAACAGTAGGAATATTAATCCAGCGAACTGAACCTCACCCATGTGAATCAAAGTAATATATATTATATATATCTGCCTGTTTAATATCTTACGGGTTAAGAGAACGCAGTAATTAACCGAGGCCTAGTTCATTTACGACGATCAGTATAAAATGAACTTCTCCTCTCTGGGATCCTGTTCAATACATAAATGTACTAGTACAACTAATCAGTCAAGACAAACTGTACAGTTGACACTACAACCGTTCGGATGGAGTGTTCATGTCCATCTAGGTTGTGAACAACTATTCTTATTCGCAAGTAACTGATAGAGTGATCTTCGGTACGCCCGATGACGACCCACTTCATCTAAGTGCAGAACAACAGAACGTAGAACTTGTTTAATCTAACATGATTCTCATTCATAAAGGGTAAATGTGTAATAACATGCAAAGTCAAGCTTTCAGTATATAACACTAACACCTTCAAGGTCGCCCACCTGGAACTGCCTCTGCTTCACCTTCTCGGCATGAGCTATACACATCTTCTGATTGAACTGCACCTTAATGTCTTCTCCTATCTCCTTACCTACCTTCGTCACCTTCTCCGGCTCTCCTTCCACCAGAGCAACCTCCATAAGCTCCTCCTGTGGAACCATCTCTGTTCTAACCTCCTTCCTTTTGCTCGAGCTCTCCTCCTTAACTTTGCTTGAGGTCTCCTCCACAAGCTTCCTCTTATTACCCGCCTTTAGCACCGTTTGGTAACAAGTTTTGGCCAACCGCTGGTCCCCCGTCACCTCACCTACTAGCTATCCCACCGGGAACTTCATCTTCATACAATATGTGGACACTGCCGCCTGAAAAGAGTTCAAGCTAGGTCGCCCCAATATGACATTGTAAGCTGACTCCGCCTTTACCACCACAAATCGAACCATCTTCACCTTCCTCAAAGGAGGAGCTCCCAACGCCATCGGTAGTTGTATCTCCCCCACTGGTACCACCTCCGCCCTGCTAAAACCAAACAACGATGTTCTAATCAGGGTGATTTCAACATCAAGGTCCATCTGCCTAAAACACCCATAAAAAATTATATCAGCAGAACTTCCCGTATCAACAAGTATCCTCTCCACATCATACCCCGCAATTTCCGCCGCTACCACCAAAGCATCGTTGCGGGACACCAGCTGGGAATCCCCCGCACCAAACTTCAACTTCGGCATTGCCTGAGCCATCTGAACCTCAGCCACACTCTCTCAATCCGCCCTCTGATTAGCTCGTCTAGCCCCATTAGAATCACCATCCGTCGGCCCCCCGGCAATCATATGGATCACCCCCCTTTTAGGAGCTCTCTCACCCTGCTCCTCTTGTCTCCGCTTCTTCTCTCCTCCCTCTGCATCATCTTTCTTATCCTTATCCAGAGCCACAAACTCCTTCAAATGCCCCGCTTTGATAAGCCTCTCAATGTAGCGCCTCATTCGATTTATAGAATTTCTTGGATTATTCTATTTATCGAATATTATTTATAAGGTCATATTTATTGTATTGGTCGCGATGTCGACTTAAATTTTATGTTGACGTATTCGATCGTTTTATTGTAAAACATTCGGCATTCGGCGATTTCGGTTTAATCACGAAATTCGAATCTAAGTCGTTCGATTATTAGATTTTTCGGATATTTCTATTGGCATAATTATTATTATTATTTGAATTTAATTGCCAAGGTGATATTAAGGTTTGAGCTATATATATATATATGTATATATATATATATTAATGTGTGATAATATATATATTGCCGGTCGAGCTATTTTTAATTTATCCCGTTTGAATTATGTATTTTCCTGAATTATTTAATTATCGTATTTTATTTTATTCCGGTAATTACTCGATGTTTTCGCTTAGTCTTATTATTGGAGGTTCTCGTCTAATTGATTTAATAAGTCGCGCTATCGCCAATCAGTAAATCGTATTGATCGGAAGTCTTGTTATCGCGTTATTCTATCGACCCAATTTATCAGGAATATTTTTCGGCTCATTTTCGGATATTATTTTTTTTTTTTACCTTTATTGAGAATAATACTAGCCAAATTGATTTCAATTTTTATTTCAACCCAAATGTGATAATTTCTGGCCCAATTCATTTAGATCAATCTTGGCCCAATTTTTTCATTCCGTGCACGTGAGATTGTGAGCAGAGGAGATTATCAATTTCATCGACGACTCATTAAGTGGGAATTCGATGCGATTCTTCAGTGAGATTCTATCTCACGATCGTCTCTCTCTCACCTATATCTAACAGAGCAAAACCTCTCCAAATCCATAGAAAAATCCAAAATTTCAGCGAGGAACTCTATCAGAATCTCCCCAAAATCCCCTCATTTCACCCTTATAATACACCCAGCAACATTGAACAAAAATCGAATCAAAGATTAAGAGTTTTTGTCCAGCCGATCATAGATCAAATGCCGTCGGGAAGCTGAGAAGTCGAGATGCCAACACCATCCTCGGGCCGCACCCCGATTGCCCACCCATTTCAGGACTTGACGGTCACACCGTCGTTAGACAGACCCTAGAGGTGTTCGAATTCCCTGCAGACGCGCAGCCGACCCCGTCAGCCCGAAAGCCGTCAACCCGTGTTGAATGGGAGATAGAGTTCGCCTCAGTCATCATCGAGCCATAGCCACCGGGAACTCGATTTTAGCCTCAGCCCAAAGGACATAAACCGAGACCACCGGCAGCAGCCCCACGTTCGAACGACACCCCGCCGAGAGACGCGTAAACCGCCATTGAGAGCCATCCGTGGTCAGTCCTTCCACCACCGGAACAGTCGCACCCGACAGCCAGCCACTGCACCCCGTAAACGCAGGCAGCCACAGCCGAATTCCAATCGCCGGCGACCCCTAGCCGCTGCCACCTCCCAGCCGCGAAACATCGCATCACCACCCAACCATCCAAGGACAACCATCGTCGACGAGCACGAGCAACCGGAACCTTGGTCAAGATCCGCCGCGTGCAAGCACCAAGCCACCCGCAACCGCCCCGTCCGATCGCTATCTGACACTGGAAACTTCAGCCGCCGAGTCCTTCTCCGGTGATTTTCCGATTCTAGCGCCGAATCACGCGACCAGCAAACCACCGCGGATGGCGGCGCACCAAAAACAATCGCCGTAGACGAGCCTCTCACTACGAGGAGATCCACACAGCCGTGAATGAGCCATTCGCCGAGCCCAGGGCCGCCATCTCCACCGCTTGCGTCTGCCGTGTTTGATGCTGCGTGGGATAGTGAAGAAGAGGAGAAATTGGGAATCAAGAGAAGAAAAATTGGAAGGAAAGAAAAGGGATTGGCTTTCAATCGGCGAGATTGGTGTGAAGAAGAGAAAGAATTTTCGAGAATTTCCGTGCCGTGAGAATTTGGGGATCTGCTACTGTGAAGAAGAGAAGAAAGAATGTGACGGGAAGAAGGACAAGGAAAAGAAAATGAAGAGAAAAAGGTTTTGAGCTTTGTGTGTGTGTTGGACTTTGCAAATTTGGTGGGCTGAAATTTCAAAAGGGAAAAATGAGCTATTCATTGGCGTTGGAAGGAGCTTCGACTTTGACAACCGAATTTAATTCGAATCATCATTAAGTCCGAACCGGGTCTCCTCGCTTGTCGATTCCCAAAGAGCGGTAATTATTCTAAGTCAGTGTTAAAAAATTTTTAAGAATTTTGTTTGGATTAATTTTAGGTATTTTTGCTTAAGTGAGTATTTTCGTAAAAATTTTTCGAGTTATCGAGATAATTTGTTTAGGAAAATTTTCCTGATCGAATGTAGGTTCCTGAGGAGTCGAGCCCTCAAATCTGCCGTTCGATTTTAGCGTCTCGTCTGTTTTCACTTATCAGGTGGGTTTTAATTGTGAAATTTGCTATGCCATAATTAATTGCTTTTGTTGTGGTATGATCAATGTATGCATGTGAACCATGTAGCCTTCGATGTGAGCTATATTGGCCGTCGAACGGTTATCCCCGTAGCTGTAGAACGTACCTTCGGGTAGTCTCCTTTATTAATGTTGGCAGTCAGGGCTCATGATCCTCGTATGTAAGGCCAAGGCGCAAATTTTGGCATTCGGGGTGGATTATTGCTCCTGTTGGCCGGACACTCGTTGTAAGGCCTTAGATAAGGCATTCGGTATATAGTTCGGCAGTAGTCTATTGCTATAGGTGTGCACATGAGACTCATTATTGATTATTGATAGGAGATGGGACGATTATTGATTCGTATACATGCTGCGACCATACCTAAATTGTTTATTGATTATTGAATATTAATTATTGCATAGCGGTGAGCACCTCGATTTTCCTATTGTGCTCACCCCACCTGATCTGCATGATGCAGGTTAGTGTTGCGGGCACGGCGGAGGGATGCGAGTGGTGGTCTTAATAATTGATATTGCTTCCGCCTAGAACTGAATATTGCTATTACTGCTTTCTTTATTATTGATTACTGGATTATTGATAGGGAGTGTACTCCCTAGGATGATTTGATTATTGGATTGCGAATTTGAGTATTGATAATTGAGTATTGATGATTGTTTAAGTATTGGTGAATTATTGAGTATTGAAAATTTGGTTAAGTATTGATAAACCGTCTAAAAATGATTAACGCCTCAAGTGTTTGTTGAAATAAATTTGAAAAATTTATTCTGATTTTCGGCAAATAAAAGTGGGGCGTTACACTCAATCTCATCCTTGAGCTCCTTGCAGTTGTTCGTCCAATGTCGATAATCACGATGGTACCTGCAATAAGGATCTCCTCGCACCGGCACCTATCTTGCTTTCTTAGGTAGTGGATGAGGCTTCCCAAACATCTTAATCTCCCCTCTCTGTTCCAACATCTCATACACCTCTCTCCTTTGTGATGTCAGTGGCGTATAATGCTCATACTTAAAACCCATACGCCCCTTCTCCTCATTCCTGCTCTCCTTACCTCCTGACCTTCTCTCATCCGGTCTATACTTCTCCTCATGCTTCTTCCCCCTCGCTCGATCGTGTGCTAAGAACGCCTTCGTCTCCTCCATGTTCATATACTTGGCACACCTCTCCAACAGTTCATCATATGACCTTGCAGGCTTCTTTGCCAAAGAGTTCCTGCAATGTCCCGCCTTCAAACCTCGTGTGAGCCCCCCCGCTTTGATCTCGTGGGAACCTCCACAAAAGCTCGCGTGTACCTAGCAACGTAATCCCGCAGCGACGCATTCTCCCGCTGCTGCATATTGATCAGCAAGAGGTAAGTCTTCTCCTGCTTTCTTGCGCTAGAGAAATAAACATCGAGCTAAACGCCCCAAAGCTATAAACAGTGTAACATCCCACCTTGACTAGCTTTGACTTTGGAAAATCAGAGTAAATTTTTTGCTTTTATTTTTGAAAGGTAGTGCGAGCTTGGTTTTCAAAAATACTAATTTGTTTGCGGGATGCTACGGAAACTTTCTTAACTTTATTTTTCGGACATAAAATAAAACATGCATCCAATCGAGCCATTGTGGCGGTAGGAAAAATATACGTGTAGTCCGCTTGATCGCACTAACTCAGCGGAAGCTTACAAATAAAATATACATATCACAATCATTCATATAAATACATGCTTAGAATTTTTGGGACATGTTCGTGTATAAAAATGTCCACTGTTCATGACCATGCTTGCCACGTCTGCTCACCCCGCACGCTGGACTCCGACACCTGAAATAAGAAAGACTGTGGGAGTGTGAGCACATCTGCATGCTCGTGCTGGAACTGTAATAATCTTAACTGTAAACATGAACTTAAATGCAGCATAAAATAAATAAGTTGTACTGAACTGTAAACTTTTCTCAAACTTTAGCTTTGGTCAAACGACCCTTACTCGGCCCTCGGCCGCTCGTGGGCACACCCCGATGGGATATTAAGGCTCTCGGCCTCCACCGGTACCAGGTGAGTCTCGAAAAGCCCTTAGTTCGGCCCTCCACCTGGGAGAACTAACTGTCTCGAACATACCTCTGTCATGGTACATATATTATACATGATGTAGAATTCAGTACATGACCCCCACATCTCCGCAAGACCAGTACTGAATAAGAAATCATCAATAATACACTAGATCATGGCTTCAATACATAAGAGCTGAACTGAAATCTATGGTCAAAAGATCCTCGACCCTCGGCCGCTCGTGTGCACACCCCGATGGGATATTAAGGCCCTTGGCCTCCACCGGTACCAGGTGAATATCAGGGGCCTCGACCCGCTCACCGTGGGCCCCTCACCTGGGAGAACTAAATGGACCACAAACGGGAGAATTCGACCGCTTGGGTAAATATCTTACTCGCATACCTTATACAGGATAACTGAAATGCGCAATGTAACGCCCTGTAAAGGCTCCCACCTGATAACTGAAATCTGATGCAAGTGCTTGAAACTGGAGTAGCGGTCGGAGGCTCAACTTTCCTTAGGCTACATAAACATTTAAGCAAAATAATGCTAAGTATAATGCTCATAATATTTATTTATATGCTAAGATGCTCGGATTTATCTAATCGATAAGACTGGACTAGCTTGGCTCGGAAAAGTACTAAAATTCGAAAAGAGACTCGAACCGGAAGTCACGAATCAAAACGGACTCGAACCGCCGGTCGAACCGGCCGCGGCCGAGACTCGACTGAGGCCCTGTCGTGCGGCTGGGCACGGACAAGTGCGGCTGGACGCGGTGATGAGGATGTGGTCATCGACCCATCTGAGCCCGAGGACGAGACGCGCATAAGCCGAGAAAGGAAGCGCGCAAGAGCCCGGGATGAGTACCGAAACCGTGCTAAGAGGGCCCGGAGAGGTTACAAGGCGGGTGATACGCGTACGGCTGAGTATTGGGCCAACGATGAGAGCAAGAGGATTGAGCCCGGAGGAGTGGGCGAATGGTGTAGGGCTTGCTCAAGAGACCGGCGCAAGCAACACATGCGCGCTAAGGCCGAAGGAGCACGAGGGGTGGATGAAGGGTGGAAAGCGTGCACATGGGGCGGCAGCAGTGGCGCGGGTGCGAAAGTGGGTTGGAACAATGTGAGGGGCTCGACAAGCGGGTACGAACGGGACACGATGACGGGAGTCACGCACAAGGTGCTGGTTGAGCAGGGCTGTGATGGTGAGGGCGCGGGTACGCTAATGGGAAGGGTCGACAGGGTCGACAAGTCGAGCAGGTGCAGGCACGCACTCGAGGTAAAGGGGTCCACGCGAAGTGCTGGCGATAACGCGCGAGACGCGCGAGAGATGATTGGCGCGAGTCGTCTAGGGATTAGGCATAGCGCGCCGACTGAAGAGAATCCACGAGACTTGAGGCGCAAGGCAATAGACGCGTGCGACGCGTGGGGCGCAGGAGGAGGCCGTGACCTCGAAAGACAAGGATTAGCCATGACGGCTAGGGTTGAGGCGCTCGAGCGCGCGCGATCCTTCTAGAAGGCCTAAAGGCCGATTTCCCTTAGTAGCTTAGGAATAATAGTTTGGTTAGGATTGGGAATAAAAGGCATGTGCCTAAGTAGTTTAGGAATGTCTTTATTTACTTTCCTTAGGACTTTATTTGTTTACTTGAATTAGGAGTTCTTCTTAGACTAGGATTAGATCTAATTGGTATTTATATATACCACCCATATGTCATTCGAAATTTATGATTAAGAAGTAATGGAAAATCGTTCGTGAGAACAAAACCGTGTGTTTAGAATTCGTGAGAGTTTTATCATACAAATCGAGTTGGCTAGGCTAAGACCCGAACCATCTCAAAATCGTGAGAAGATAAGGCTAATAACCGAGTCGTCCACACCTATCGTCGAATGACAAGCCGTGGCAAAGCTTAGTTCGAGACAATCGAGTTGGGAAAACACACGATACTTCATCATTGGTGCTTTCATTGAGAGGTGTTGATCGTGTGTTTTGTTTAACTTTTTCTATCTTCTTCTTTTTCGATTTTTCCCTTTTTCTTTTCGTGAGTTTTGTTCGAGGGTTATCAAAAAAAAAAGAAGAAAAAGAGAGAAGCCATGACAAACCGAGAGAGATTCGAGATGTTGAAGGAGAGCATGAGATCCCTTGGTAATGGACAACATGCGGCCAACGAGAAATTTGCGAAGTTGGAGCTCATGGTGCATGATCTTGCGGCACAACTTGCTCGAGCTACACGACGACCGCGAGGAAGTCATAGGTCGTGTTCGACCACAGCTCGATCGAGCGGCTCCGAGTCCGACCACGAGGACCATGATCGACGATCGAGGAGGACACGAGCGTC